AACATTAATGAATTAAAATATATATTTAAAAACGTTTTACCTGTTTCTCAGTTTATATTTTAAGCAATAAAAAAGGAGGATTGAGATGGACTTTACAAAAAGACTATAATCTATAATAAATACAGCACATTTAATGTCTGTAAAAAGTTACAAAAATACCAGTATGCCAGTAAACAATGCTTTTATCTATTTTTTATTTTCTTAATACCACATACTGGAACTTTTAGACTTTTCCAAATACCTAACATGTACAGTACAGATTAAAGAAAGACCCACAGAGGGACCACCTATTTGTCAAATAACAGTAGAATATACTAGCCAAACTGTACTATACAAGAAGTATTATGTTAGAAAGATTAGTTCTACTAGTGCATATACTCACTTAATTGAAAAAATGTGTATTAAAATAACTAACTTTTAGAGAATTCTCCATATAATAGTGCCTTATTTAAGCTTGCAATTGATAAGACATACTTTAGCCAATGACTATTTTTCTTACCATAGACATTGTTCTTGTAATTTTCTAAACAGAAGGTACAGTATAAATAGTTAATAAAAATTTCCAACGGGTTTTTCGGCTAAACAAACTCACAAATCACTGATGGCAAATAAGCACCGTTGCAAGCAGTTTCTGGTCCTGTAATAGGAAAGGTAATCTTTTTTCAAGATTGAAGAAATAAAAGCAGATAGTGTTACAGCTAGTGAGTTGGACATTTTTTAGGCACAGAAGGAAATAAAACCTGATTGAACAGTACAGGAGAAATTAAGTTGCTTAAGAATATACTTAAGATTCACATTACCTTCAGGACAGGTAAACAAACTGGACTGATTATTAAACCTGTTATTATTTTAATAAAGTACCACATGCAGGTGTACAATGCAATCAATAAGGTGACTTACAGAACAAGGGGCTGTTTTGAACATGAGAATGACCCAAAACATAAAGTGGCTTAATTGAGAAATAAGAACAACCTCTGAAATGTGGACTTTTTAATGCTAAAGAAATGTCATAGGAGTTTAGCAAAATGATGAACAAAAAATGAGGAAAAAAAGAAAGAAGACATTTTTAATGTTTAAGTGCATTTCATTTAAAAAAACTAATTTTTCTGAAGTACAATGTTTAAAGTTCTTATATTCATTTTCTTTAAAAGAACGCAAGCAACAAAATAACCAATTGCAGTGCATCATTATAACCCTTGCCTATTTTTATTTAATAAAATTAGCGCATTTGCTACAGTTACTGTAGCATGTGAACACATTTGCACAACACACAAAAGTTATATTAGTTCTTCACCCACAAAGTCACTGACGTTTGTGAAGTTGCATTGAATATTTAATGTTGTAGATTTCTTTTGCAACTGTGCTCTGTGAAAAAAGATCCTTCAAAATAACTTCAATTCGCAGACACCTTTTGTTTAAAAATGTGATTTGTGTTTTATTGCAGAAAACAAAACCACACAAGATAATTTATCTGTGTTGGTGGGTTCATAAATAAGAAAGAATTGAAAGTGGCACCAGCTGAGTGGCTTTCCCCGAAGAGTGCTCATCATTTCAGTTAGGAGCAGAGCAGAAACATATCATTGTCCTCAGTAATTGCAGGAGCTAAAGTTACAAATAAAGGAGCAGAAGTGCACAGCCAGGACATGACTACTCTACCTTGATTAGTTGCAATCTGGGTGAGCCTGCTTTGCCTGTGCATTGCCAAAACATTTTGATGGCTAATCTTCATGGAAAGAAAATGAAAACAGATAATCTTGGGCAATTTCAGTGTATCTCTAATTATTTCTTTTTTTATCTTATGTGTATATAAACTAACTACAAATATAACAAGAATGAATAAATATTTTATGAACACAATAATTGAAAAAACATACTGTTTTTTAAACATACTGTTACAATGTTGATAAAACTAATAGCAAAATGGCAATGGACTAAAAGTACAGTGCATCCAAGCCATCATCCTTGTGTCACCAGTGCCAGTAAGCTCACATTTACTTCATAAATGCACCAGTATGTGATGCTCTTACCTGTATCACAGTGCTAGAATTTGCAAACCAGTGCTCATCAATAGACCCAGAGGTGCTATTCTTTGCGTAGTCCTAGCTACTTGGTTATTAAAGATGCCATGACATCATCCATAAGAGTTATTAACCTACTGTAGGTGAAACTTTTCTGAATTCTGCCCTCGGTTTGCACAATCTGGCCTGCCTAAATTTTCTAATTGATTCAAAATATGAAGTTACTGTATGTCTTACTTGTCCATATAATGTGCACTGCAGCAGGGCAACCTGCAAATCTTGTCTTTTGTGTGTCACCAAGGTGGGTGCTGCACTTCAGTGGTCAATGGTGGTCTCCTCTGAGGTTTACTGCCGAACACGTTTATTGGAATTTATGTTTTAATGTCTTTGACAGGTCTGAATACTTAAATCAGGTCCCCTCATTGTCTTCTGTATTCAGGACTAAAAAACATTCAGCTCTTTAATCCTGTAAGAGTAGGACATACTGTACTATACCTTTTAATTCAGGAATGCATCCAGTCATACTTCTTTGGACTGATTGATTGCAGAGCAACATTGTCTTTTGTGTGATGTGGTGATAAAAATAGGAACAATATTTTCTTAAAAGAGGTCTAAAATGTGTATTTTAACACATCATCTCTTGAAGTAAATGCTGCACTTCGATAACACTTTTAACTTTTAAATTACTAGTGTAATATATTGATACCAGAGGCTGAAACTCACTTTTGTACAAATTCTGGGCTCCCTAGCTTTCGCCCTTATGTAAATTGGTGATGTTCTGTAAGTTTCACTTTCCTAAGTAATGTACTGTGCAGTTAGGCTGCTGTTGCATAATGTCTGCCACACATCATTCATGTTGCAAATTGGTGGTGGATGAAATGGATAATCATCAATAACATGGAAAAAAACTTTGGGATCCTATGGAAATAAAAGTGGTATATACTGTAGATGCATTAAAGTATTCTTCATCTCACTTCATTTTTAATTGAAATTTTAACTGAACCAATGAAATTAATGGTATTTATTTAACAGAAATTCAGGGAGGTTAAATTCTAATGTCTCACTTCCACTCCCCAATGTATAAATACTCCTTGGCTGCACACAGTCCTTGCTGCCACCAGGAACAAATTGTCACGGTTGACATCCCCTCCTCCGGAGGGCGCTCTAATCTTCTTTAGATAGTCCTTTTAATTATTACTTCCTGGGGTGTCTAGTTAAGTCGGTTATTTAAGTTTTCTTCCCCCCAGCCTTCGGGGCTCATCTTTGGAAAATGGTTGTCTCATGGCCCGCCTACCACCAGGCTTCACAGGGAAGTCTGAGGGCATAGGCCTGTAGTAGTGACACTGACCTTCTGAGCCCCAGGCCTGGGACAAAGCCCCGTATTCCTGGTTCTTGTTTTTTCATGTGTCTGTTCCTGTTTTGTCTCCGGATGCATCTCTCGATTATGGACATTCTGTATGGACTGTTTCCCGATTCTCCTGTGGACCTCCCTGGATTTGTTGCAGTGGATACCTACAGTACCCTTCACTTCTGCACAGACTTCCCTATCATCACTGTGAGCACCAATACATCTTCTGTGTCTTCCCTCTACTCCGTTCCTTATTCCTTTCCGGATTTGCCACCTCACATAAGGTCTTAAAATACTTTTTCCATGGGAGCCTCACCTGGCAATAGTTACACAAATTACTAAAACATAAAGTATAATGGCAGGGGCACAAAAAATAGCTGGAACTGTTACTTAGAAAAAATTGTTCCCACACAAACTGTATCTTTCGTAAAGTCAGAAATAAAAATACCGTATATATAACATAAGAACAGGTAAAGGTTCATTCCATGCTGTAAGGTAAAGAAAAGAAT